AAATGTCTCATATTCACGTTACTCGTGGAAGAAACCATGAAAACGCTCATGCAGTCAACTCGTACAACGGGATTTAAATTCAGGAAGAACTACCACTGTTCAATGGTCTTATCACCTTGGCCACTGGTGGTCTAGTCATAACTATTCTATCCCGAGAGAGAAAATTATCATCAGCATACCGTGTTCAAAAGCGTAAATTAAACATTTGTAAAATCGTACGTTCAAGACAGTGCATAAACTATCACAAAGGATGGATCAAAGTTCACTACCCATAGCCCAAAGCCTTTCTTTTGCTATTAAAACTTCTCACTGGAAAGAAAACTCGTCTGTTTGACACAAGTTTTGGTTAAGCGCTGCAGTTCTTGTATTTTAAAATCAGTACAATGGGGATTCAGGAAGGCTGTTACATAAACATGCAAGCACATCAGAATAAAAAAATTCTATACAGCTATTTCACATCGAAAGAAAGCATGAATTTGAGAATAAAGTTTAGTCACCAAATCATAGGTGTTTCACAGCAGGGTTTTCAAAATGATGAATGGCGAACTACTTTTCCTAATTAGAAAAATTCCCTACAGTTATAAATTGTCAGGTTTTCATCAAATTCAGTAACAATAACTAACCAGTAAGCAAAAGATTTTATTTCTGTTTGGAAAAAGAGCGCCGAAGTATGATAGCAACATTAAAACATGGGTTTTGAAGTTGATAGTTATTTTAAGTTGTACATAATGTAATTTCACCGTGCAAGAAATTTGAAAGCGTCGTCTTATAGAAACATCGAGATAACGTTTTCTGAATTAAATGCGACGAGAAATGTTTTCCCAGGTAGAAGCAATTGATATACATTTAACACGATAGGTGATATGACCCTTCAGCTTCTGATTCTCAAAAACTCGGTCACCAAAATTTTCAGTTGAAGATCGTTGTACAAGCCAGTTAATTATTGGCATACATTGAACAGTAAAAAAGGAGAATGTTATCTCCTATTGAGCCATGATCTTTCTCTTAACAACTAGTAAGAACACTGCAGCTTTTGGTGAATGTAAAAGGTTTTACGAAGTCTGGGTTTGGCGAAGTAAGCGTTTGTAGATGCACTCAGTCGTAATGGACTTTGACGAGCTATAGCTATGGCTGCTAACTGCTTATGGTTTTATAATGGCACTCACTGTTCTAGGAACTTTCAACTTTATGAAAAACTTTTTTGCAGTCCTTATGGATTTGGAAATCGAGAGTAATTAGTGTGAAAATTTAAAAGGCAGATGTGTCCCGACATTCTCTCACAGCTCTTCTAATCTTTCTTTGCCATGAAGAAGTCAGTGCATCAAAGAAATTATCCGTGAATGCGGGAGAAGGTATCATTTAATTATGTGTGTGTATATATAAGATGACAGCTCACTACACGGAAATTTTGAAACGATATATAGAAGTTTTCCTTAATGCGCGTTATTGAAATTTCATTCAAACCTATTAGTGTAAAAAACAGTGCATTATTTTTGGAAGTTGAGCAGGTGCTTTGTATGTTCAACCATGAAATCGATTGTAAGATATGAATATACAAAATATCCACGATAATGTACAGAATGCACCGAGCAGCTTTATTTCTATACTGTGCAGATATAATAAAAATTAAGAGAGAATGTTGTCCTTCATGACAAACTTTTTCTGCACCTCAAAACAGTAACACATGCCTATACTAAGTGTTTATGTGAGTATCGTTTGCTTCATTTTATTGTTGCAAACAGCGTAAATTCCTTTTGTTTTTCTTCTTTTAGTTTTGAACTTTATGTGTGGCAACAAGATAATTGATTGATAGAATTGTGTTTTGTGACAGCCATGTAGAGTGGCTCGCTTATTTTGTATCAATTATTTTGCATCGCTGACAAGTGTAATTTAATAAAAGTGTAGGAATACAGTCCATTTGTTGATTGATTATAGTTTGTGAAACATATTAAGTTTAGTGCTGAAAAATAAACTGTCTCACATGCCATCTGTCAATGTGACTGAAGGAACTATAATTTAGGTCTGGTTCAGGTATGGCAGTTAAAGACGTTCCTATTAGGAAATGACCAGGTGTTAATGCAGTTAAAATAGTTTCAATTTTCTTTACATAATTAGTAACACTCCTGCGTAAGACCGCTCTTTTTGTTTTAAAAGTTATAAGTTCACTCATAATTGATCAATTCAAAAACAGAAATTGTTCTTAAATCACTTAACACTATTATTAAAATGAAATCGAATTCTATGTTGTATTACAACATTGTTCTTAAAATTTAACAACAAATTAAACGAATTTTTGTTCTAAATCCACTTACCTCACAAAGTGGATAATTTTCACAAACCATCTGCATATTTGCGTTGTTAGAATACACTTAGAACAGTCACTATCTTCACTAGCTCTCCGGCTAGACTTTTGACCAACATCATGCGTCCTAAGAGTAGATGCAACTTTTCTAACATCATTTTTAAAGACGGATTCATGTAATTCATATTTCATGCTGTTTTCTGACATATTATAACCCAACTATATTAAAACTTCAGGAAGCAGAACAGTTAGGGAAAAAGAGAATTATTAATATCAGAAAACATATACATCCAAATTTTCATGTTTACTATTCAATAAAAAAATTCAGATTATTATGATTAAAAGTGTACGAATTTTAAGTTCATTATGTAAATACTAAGCTTGTCTACTGAAATAGCCTCTAAAGGATAGATCATTATGTGCATGGAATCGCCAGATCGATCATTTGACATAAATCTCCATAAGCATAGATAGATGGTTTTCGGAAGTGCTCTGGAACAGACTGAGTTCGTCCATAAACGTTCGATAGGGTCAGAGGAGGAAACATCATTAAATAGCATATTAATCACAGGAAGTTTTAACAAATTATGATCATGCAAAAAATAATATAAAATGTCTTTTAAAGGATCTTATCTCCTAGTACCATAAATACAATATAGTTATAAGGAAGTATCGCCTCCTTGTATGTGGTTTCATGGTGTATCTCGTAACACGTCTGGTTAGAAGTCAGAAGATCTATGGTGCGAATCCCGGAGAGGATACACTTGATTTCTCCCATTTCCTAGCTTGAGATACTTCAAAGTCTGTCTAGTGGTGCCCGATTAAAATGTGGTAGCAGACTTAAATACCGCAGCTGAATTTTGAAGTTTCTGCTCTATAGTATACGAAATAACTCTACGTAATTCATTATAAAGATAAAATTATGTTGACTGTTTCAAATGTTTTATTAACATTTTATTCAAAGAAAAAAATTTGAAGAAAAGCTCAAAGAATTACTGTGTACTATTTAAGGAAGCATATTACACCTTCAGCTTATTGTGAAACTCAGGTTTAGCTGGTTTTATATGTCAGACATTTTAACTGGAAATGTTTGTTAAGGATTCAAGTATCATTCAGTTTATTTGTATGGAAAATTTAAGTTAACATTCAAGTATAATTAAGTTCACCTTCAGTGTTTAGGAAGCACATTTAAAATTATTTAGCGCAAAATCGTACACTCGCAAATTCCGAGTGAAAATCTTATTTGGAATTTTTTTTTATCGAGTCTAGTTGATATTCTTAATCGATACAAAAACTGAACTTTTCTTAGATGACATTTATGTGCATGTGGTGATATAAATAGGTTGTTTAATCAATTATGACAAAAAAAACATTTGAATATTGCTTTCCTAAGGGATGTAATGCCGATGTTAAGGACAATGTAATAGAAACTGGCCCATATTCATTCTACACAGGGACAACTACATGTATTCAATCAGTTGCGCTGCTGGAAGCAAAACCTGGGACTGTTTATGAACTGGAGCTCAAAATTAAAGTTGCAAATACAATTTATATAACATCTTGAAAATTAATTGGATTGTTGCGAGGAAATTATGAACACAATATAAAACAGCTTATAGAGTATTGTATAACAAAATAAACGGAAAAGGGAATATTATGCAATAAGCAAATGAAACCAAAAGCAGCCAAAACATGACACGTCATATTTTCAGAAAAACTAGGATAGTGAGGAAAATAACCACACGCAAAGGTCTAACCACAGTTGCAAATAAAGTATATTGATCAAACATAAGTTACTTTGAAATATAACAACAAATTCTGTTCTTCTAAGCGAGAGTTTTGATTTTTGGAGAGCCGTGGGAGGGTGCTGACGTCGTACAGCGGCTCTCCCTAATAGAGCATTTCAGACATACTTTACAATGCACCATGAATTAAAGTAGTATATACAACCCTTATGTACCCTTAATGTGCTTTGTTTTAATCAATTAACCTAATATGCGAGAACTGGATAATCGATAAAAGATTTGTCAGGTCTGAGTTCTTGGACCCTAGAGACCACGATTACTTACTGTTTCTGGAGAAAATGTTAGAGCTAAACTGTTAAACTCAGTGGCGCAACAGCCCTTGTGGGCCAAGGCCAGCAGTGACCCGAAATCTGCTTTCTTGATCGTGGGTCCCGGGTTGCGTAAGCACATGCCCTAAACAAGTGGTCAGCTTATCACAGGACCCCCAGTGTTTAGTCCCCAAGCGAACTTGGTACTCATTTTATCGACCCAAGGCATGGAAATCAAGGGATGAAAAGCTGAGTCTACCTTGCCCAGCCCGGTCATCGAACCCCGGACTTTGCTGCTGCGGGATGCGCTAAATGTTAGAACATTATCAATAATTTTCTAAACAAACATTTAAAGTTGTTATGTTGAATGATTTCAAATTTTTGTTTTGAACTGAGAATGTTAGAATTCATTAAGGTAATAACTGCAAAGAAAAAAAATACAAGTAGCACAGCAAAATCTCCATATGATTCAGTAAAATCTATTTCCCTGCTAAGAGAAGTGAAATATTTTTTGCTTTAGTGCATTCATTTAGTGTAATTTAAAAAATTTTTAAATTGGAAACTCTTAAATAACAAAACAATGAGATCTTTCTGACTTTTTTTATTTATACCTAAAAAAGAAAAACAAAAATATTGCAAACAAGATTCTCAACAAACCAAACTGTAGCACAGCTACTGGCCTTTTATTAACACATAAACATTGCACATATAGTATTTATGAAAAAAATCCAGAATTCTACAGAATTTGCATAGTAACCATATACATGCAGATCACTACTTAGAATAATACGTTGAGCTTTCTTTCATTATCTACAATTTTACCTTCCGAGATCATTATAATTTTTCTTTTGTATTTAGAAAAGTGACATCTAGTAGTAATATTTCTTTGACAAGTAAATTTCGTATAAGGAACACATGATTTAAAAAATTATTAATATAAAATAATTTTCGGTTGTTTCACATTAATATCTTACTTCAAAAGCATAATAAGTTTTCAACTTTAAAAGTTTTATTGCAATTAGAGTGATTCCAAATGCAATCTTGGAAATTGGTTACTCTCTCTTTCGAACAAAAGGCATGATTTGTTAGTTGGATATAAAATTCATTGCTGTTGTTGTGACTTATCTCACTTGTCTGGCAATAATACCAGAACAAGCCTATAAAATTCGTCGTGGCAAGGAGTGCCAGATTGGCATGTCGTTGGCAAAAGCCTTGAGCACCATACAGGGTACAGTACGACTTTGCTCATGTCTGCCCTCAATTTTGATGGAAAGCACCCTGGAAAGAAGGTGGGTCCGAGGCGTTCCATCCCTCTTCCCTACCACCAACCTCTCTAGAGGACCTTCGGCTCGCCGCACATTTACAGTGTTCCCAGGCTGCACACACAGTATACATCTGCAAACATCCATGCCTTCTCCTGGATTCGAAACCGGGCCTTTGGTACGCCAGTCAGAGCCAGTAACCACTATAACGGTTGGGCTTCATAAAATTCGTTCACTATGTCAGTGATGGCGAACCAAAGGACATGCGTGTTACATATTACATGCTAGCGTTGGTGAAGATAATAATTACTTTCCCCACCGCCATTTGAGTTCATTTTCAGCTCATTTCCCTGGACGAACTATTGAATATATTTATTTAACATAGCAGTTCTAAAACAGCGTCGTATATGAATATATGTATTTATATAAATATTATTATATTTATTATCTATACGAATATATGTATTTATATAAATATTATTATATTTATTATCTATATAAATATATTTATTTAACATCGCAGTTTTAAAACATCGTCGTAGAAAATACAACAGTTCAAAAAACTGACAGTTTTAAAACACTTGTCGTGTAAAATATCACGGTTAAAAATTAAGTACCTACAAATCATCACGAGATGATAACATCGCAGACAAACTGATATTTAATTTTACGATTCTAATCTAGACAAACTCATGCAGTTAGTTACTCAGTTTCCTTTTTCTGATCTTTTTCAAACACATGCAAAACTAAAAATGCAATAAAAGAGTTAATTAAATCAATTTTAGCTACATAAGTTTAAAATTCTATTAACGGCTTATACGTAGCTGCCTTAAATTCTGCATGTTTTCCGATTTCGAATGCTTAAGTTTCCTTCTTGTTTTTTTTCCAAAAAAAAGTTTTCTAATTTATTCAAAAATAGAAAATAAAGAGGTAAACATATTCCTCATTCCTTCTTGCACTCACATATTGTATTACATGCGAACATGCATTTAAAACTTTTAAAGTGTAAAAACAAGTGTTCGCGATGCAATAATGCAATATTGTAATAATGTAATAATGATGCATCATGCAATAATTTGTGGGTGCTTTATTTTTCACCATTAAATTTTATAGTTATATTTTAAAGCTGCGATTTTTTGGAGCTGCTACGTTTTCTTTTCTCCCTCGATAGTTTTTTCGATGTTTTCCTCTTGCGTTGTTTTCTCTGCGCTGTGTTTCGTCCGCGATGTTTTCGGCCTATACTAAAGTATTTATAGTTTTATTCTATTGGAATTCGACGACAAATAATTAACTGATATGTACTGAATCAAATTTAAGGTATTTCTTTTTGGTACTCCTCCCCTCCCCAACTGAAAATTAACCGCGCAAATATATATTTAGCGAAGGCTGACTGAATCGCCGTTGAGCCCAAGTTTGAATTTTAGATAAGGCGGATGTTTTTGCGGAAGGGGCGCATTTAGAAATCTGTTGATGTATAAAAACCCCTCTCCAGAGTTTGATGGTAAAAGGAAAAGGATCCTCGCCTGTAGCTTACCTAGATCAAAACTGGAATGAAACTCAGGCAGATAGGCAGATAGCTCTTGCGTACTTTACTTGAACTAAATAATTACGATCTAATCAATTCAAGATTACTTTTAAAAGAGGATACTTTTAAATGCAATTATCATTATGCATATTGATTTCTCTACTGCAAACTGCTGATTTTTCGTTTATTATCTCTATTTCCGCTTCTCTTATAATAGCTGTTTTTAAATGCATGTCTTGTATGAAAGTGTTCTTCATAATGAAACAGTTTTAAGAATAAATCTGTTTTTTTTTTCTTATTACTTTCTCATTATTATTGCTGTTATTATTACACATATGCTTGAGTTTGGTATTTCACTTGCATTTGGCAGTACCACACTCATGCACAACAGCACAGAAGACAGAATCGTATAAAAATATAAATACATATGTGAAAATTGTTTCCCTTTTGTTTTAGAGAGGAAAGAGAGGTAACCAGAAACCAGATTTATGTTTAGCCGCTTTCCATAATTTTGGCAAGCTTAGAGCGAAAGGTTCGCCAGTTATAACTAAATTTTAAAGAAAGAAATAAATATGATACATAAATGAAAAATTATTTTATAAATCTTTTTTATCTTTTTTATTAATTAATATATACAATGAATAAAAATAAAATCTTTGGCAAAGAACTGACTCGAAGCAAAATAAAATTTTAGCTAAAATTAATTTCATATATCTTTGGTTAGCAACAATACACATTATATTAAATAGTAACTTAAAAAAATGAGTTCACATACTTCCTGCCGGATACTGCCGAAAGATAAAATAAATGCAATCTGTAAAATTTAATTAAATAATTATTAAAAAGTAAGATTTCTTGCTATTAAATATTTATGTTAAATTAGTTAATACTACATTCATGATGAATGTAAGTAAATTACATTCTTTAATTTAATCAACTGAAACGGTTGTATTCATATAATTCTGGAAAATGAAATAATTCCGATTAATCAAATGAAACGGTTGTATTCATATAATTCTGGAAAATGAAATAATTCCGATAAGTAAGTTCATCGCCTTCATACATCTGTCTTTTGGAATAAAAAGTATGCAGCAGTTTTGCTAGTGAATAATTTTCACAGTAGATCTAACAGTCCTTTGTAATGTGATTTCATTTCTAGAATAAGGCATTGCTCAAGAAGTTTGTTTTTTTTCTTTCTTTGATCACACTTACAACTCAACAGGTACTTGTACTGCTTTTATCACTGTTCTGTATGCAAGAGTACTTTCTTACACGCACTACACGGTACCGTACATTACACAAATTGTACTTCAAAATGATGAATACCGACTAATGATGAAATCCAAACATTTGTATGTGACCAGCACTACGGAAACTGAAGTGAAACAGTTTGAATGACTTATCCACGGTGTAGATACATATCTATTTGTCTACTAGTAATTTTTTCTGTGCGCTAAACAGATGTTAAACATTTGTATCATTCATAGAAGTCCTCTAAAAACACCTGAGTAGAAATCATACAAACATACAAAAGAAATGCGCAGGATGCGTAAAGGTTGTTGATGCTACGCATTTCAGCTAAAACAATGGATATCTGGTAAAGAATTCAGTGAAATTTACTACTTCCTATATTTTGTAAATAATCAGACTTTCATCAACGAACTTCTGCAATGAAGATATTCGATTTGAACGGAGTTTGGCATTTGGTATTTACCATCCTGGAAGTCCAGGGGACGAATGCATTTGTTGAAGATTGTTATAAACACTTCCTCCATTTGTGACAGGAGCGTTCGATCCTGTTTGCTGGATGTTGTTCATTTGTGAATGTGTATAAGGTCCAACGGATGTCGGGTATGAGGATACAGTGGTAGCCACAGATGCAGCTGTAGGAGATGAATAGTAACCAGGTGTTCCACCGGTTGGTACTGCTGAGTATGCAGGGCACGGTTTGCCATCTCGAACTAACACAGGTACAGCCACTCTCCGTGCTTGGTGAAGATTGGCAGCTGTTAGCTCCAAAGTTTTGTCTTGGCGTTGCCTTTTAGATTTATATCGCCGGTTCTGAAACCAGATCTTGACTTGGGTTGAAGTTAATTTAAGAACATTCGCCAGTTGTTCTCTCTCCGGGGCTGATAGATACCGTTGTTGTTTGAATCGCCTTTCCAGTTCGTATACCTGAGCTTGTGAAAAGAGAACACGCGGTTTCCTCCGGGTGCGCTGACGAGCCGGCTGGGATTGTGTGACGGCAGTTGTGGTTTCGGACTTGATGTTGGTGCTGGTAGCAGGAGTTGTGAGCACACGATTGTTTGGAGTTTCATTCGACTGCTGACCCACGTTGTGCTGGTTACTCGCAGTTGTATTGGCAGGATAACTGCTTGTTTGTAAGATGATGGGTTCTAGAAAGAAAAAAAAATGGATACAATTATTACTGAGGAATTTAAAAATATATTTGGCAACAAAATTGGAAAATTTAGAGAAACATTTGAATAATTTAGTCTCTGATATTCTTAGATATTTCGATTGAATGATGATACAAGTATGAAAATTGAAATGACTTTAAAAGTAAGTATTTCCGAACATTAGCGGAAATATGCATGTAAAATTATGACCACAGTGTCGCTGCTGTATATGGTGCTTTGCAATTTTTTTATGCAAAATAGTTTTCTTTTGCAGAACTAGTGATGCGCTATTGATGGAAAAAGCCTTTTTAAAAATTTCTGTACCACTTCTTAATACTGTAAGGAACAGAAACAGGAATCTTTTTTTCATTGTTGTATCATATTTTGATACCTATGCTAAAATGACAAAATCCCTTCCTTTGAAATATGCATTGTTAATATGCAGTATACAGCATACTTTATGACGATTTTATGTAATGTTGACAGCGTTTTTATTGAATTTAAACAACACTGTATTAAACGTATTTATCTACTTCAGTATCTCGTTAAGGTAACAACAACATTATGGGCATTCCCCATTCCGTGAACTCAATCACACTATAGGTCCATCCCCCTCTTTGGGGTACATCGTAGAGGCTCAACATCTACTATTACCCCTCCAGAGGAGCGGCGCACCACCTGGAAATACTTTAATCTCCAGGCAGCACTGATCGTCAATTGCTACCTGCCAGTCGCATGGGCTAGCCCGTCGCAGAAGGCCGTTACCCAGCAAACCGGGAGGAACACTTCCGGCTACGGATCCAACCGCTAAGAACAGCCAGACCCCGAGGCCGGCCAATAAGTGACCTTTCCCAGGACTTTCAGAACCACTAAGTTCAAAAATTTTATACCCCCGTGGCCGAGACTGCCTAGATACAGATCCTAGCCAGTAGCTTCGCAGAGTTCTCTACGTCGACGGGTACAGTTCGCTTTTTGCTGCTCGGTGCAATCTCTATCGCTTCCAAATTCCGCCACGCGAAGCCACCCAAATGTTGCCGCATCTGAATTCTGCCTTCGGTGCGGTGGCTCTAAGCGTCGAATGTGTATATATCGTTCGAGACATCAGTTTTAATTTCAAGTAGGAATTTCATCCTTGAGTCAATCTTCAGTTTTTGCTAGACGTATGATACACGAGAAAGAATAATTTCTCAAAATTACATTACATCGTATTTTATTATCTCCTCTAACAGGCAAGTAGCTTCGATGTGTAACGATCCGCTCTTTCAAAAGTGTGGAAACGTAATGAAAAAATCTGCATGTATGAAATATAATGTAAACAAAATAGCCTGACTCCCATATTGAAAATTATTTAAATGAAGAATTATTATTAATTTACAACAGTTGAAAATATTTAATTATTTAAGTTACTCATTGTTGATTACTTAAGTGAAAAGCTTGATCTCATATTAATGACATAGACTGTTTAGCTAAAATGTAGTTTACAGAAATAAATTTTCAGTTAAAAGTACATATAGTATTAACACTTATTTAAAACTACATAATACGTATTTATGAATTTGTTTCGCATGTGCAGACTTGTTCTGGGAAGAAGGAAACATATTAATGTAAATTGTCGGCAGCAAAATTGTTAGTGTTTGTATCAGATTGCTAATTTGTCACAAAATGTTTCAATATATCGAGGAAATGCACCTTCATTCCCAAATTTTTCTCTTTATTTCATCTAAATCTATTATCCTAATTATTGCACAGGATTTATCCCACATAATGCCTTACTGCTAATTTATATAGTTAAATGACTAGATATATCCTGTTATGAGAAATTATCCTTATTTACGCATTTTGTTCCTGTTTATAAAATTATGTATCTCACTAGCATTTTTCTGCAAATAAATTCATTAAAAAAAAGGACAAACTTAGAAACATTAAAACAAATGCAATACAATAATTTACTAACTTTTTACTCCACCTATTTCTTGAGTTAAAGCGCATGCGAAATGTAAAAATATTAAAGTGATTTTGATGGGAATTAAATAAACATTTAAACAAAAGTATGCCTTTCGGACGAAGTTTCGCATAAATATGACAAAAGAAAGAATTCAAGATTGATTAATGTTAATATCCTGGTTTAACATAAAGGGAGATCTTCAAATATTTTGGAGAGTTACGTACCACACCGACATTTAAAAAGAATTACTGGGTTTGTTTTATCTTATCTTAGTTCTTGATAACTAATAAATATTAAAAAAAAAAAAAAAAAAAAAAAAAAAAAAAAAAAGAATTGAGACCAAAAATATGCAATACAAATATAACACCATATATAAGTTAAATGCTCCACAGAAAAAAGAATTCGCAAATTAAAAAAACTGAAAATTGGTTTAAAAATATACTGTTCTGAAAAACATATCTTTCATTCGAAAAATAATCTTGTCTTCTTTGTTTGCTTGTTTAACTGAATACGGCAAAATGCAGGAACTGGTTAAGGAGAGAGATGGCTTTTATAAGACAATCAGAGTTTTTGCAGGTGTTTAAGTAATAATAAACTTGCTTCAATCCTTTTTTTTTTCAAAACATTCAGTAACTTTAAGTTATAGAATGTGTAATATTGTAGCTAATTTAGTAGTCCATGAGGGCTAGAATACTTATGACTTGTGTAGCGAAGTATCGTAGAGTTCACGCACATTTCCAAAAAAGGTTAAATTACCCTTTATTCCAACTCAAGAAGATTCACAGATAGAACCTTTTCGAGCTTACAGTAAGCCTCCACTTGGGCTTTAACTTAAGATAGAAAGTAAGAAACTAATCCAATGCTAACTAAACTAACACCAGTCGAAGCTTTACAGAAATAACTAGCAGAGTTGACCACCCTCCGACTGGCTAGGGTTTTTGCTAAAAAAGCACAAATTTTCCAAAACTACTACTATAAGAAAAAATTATTTTCTTCATTTTAATGTAAAAATTCTCCTGTATTTATACCTGGATTTGTGTGCTTTTAATGTATTGCTTTAATTTCTTTTAACATATTTTAATTTGCACGTATATATACGTTCTTACAAAGATCACAAAAAATATTCTACGCCGTATATACACGGCCTTGCCAGTTAGAGGGTTAAAGATCATTGGTGAGTACTAGGAGGCACGTAACAATGTAGCCGAGAAGTCGTTAAGATTAAGTTTAAAAGAAACGACGTGGCCAGAAGACAGAATACGCTTTACAGGGAACCTCTACAGCTCTTCTACTGAAGTGATGAAGACTTCAACTTAAAAACTGTTTTTCTCTCATTTACATTAAACGCGATCCTGAAAACTCATTCTAATAAGGAATCGTAGGTGGGAAACAAGAGAGTAAAGGAAAGTTTGCTCCAAAATAAAAAATAACTATTAAGAAATAAAAATAAACCCTTACAAATGATAATCCTACAATTGGAATAATTAATTTTTTTTATTCACAAGTTTACCGTCAATGATGTCAATAACTAACAAATATTTAAGCTCTTGCCTACTTTCGAAAAACATTGTCCCGCATTAATTTTACGAATTAATAAAGAGTAATATAATTAATTATACGAGGATAATTTGCTGTTTAACAGATGAAAACTTGCATCGAAAAAATTCTGCATACATTTTCCTGCGTTATTCATAGGTAAAAGCGTGATTAGAAAACGCCTTGATAAACCAACAATAAAAATTAACATCTTAAAATAGCGCTGTTCTATTTTATTATATTGTTTTTTTCTAATTAAAAAAAAAAAAAAAAAAAAAAAAAGTCTCTATCTTTGGGTTTAAGTTCCAAATTATGTCTCGTTTTGACAGTAATCGTATCCGTGCATTTAACGACTCTAGAGGTGGAAAAAAAAAAGCTACGGCATTTCGATTTAAAAAAGTGTATTTCATCTCATTTAATATACCATCCAGATGCGACTCGTCATGATATTTAGATAGATAGTGTGGCCATAAATTAATCGAAAAAACTTCTGCGAGGAAGTGGTTGTGGCAAGGGGATCAAGGCATTTAAAAAATGGTCTGTTCTGAAACTCAGCAGAGGTCTAGCAGCTACGCAAAAAGGGATGTTGAAGCACGTGACACTGTTGAGGGTCAACGAGTAACTCAGTCGTATTCTTTAAAAGGGGGGGGGATGTTTATGTCGCTACCGTCCGATTTTTTTGTGTGTACCCGTAATGCAACGATGAGGTTTCGCCGGTCCCTATTCATTTGCAAAGATTTTAATTGGCTTTAGTAATAATGACTGGAGTTTCATTTGACGGTTGGGTTCCTAGTCCAAGCATATCAAGATTCTTAAATGTCACTAGAAGTTGCCAGTACATTTGAAAGAGCATGTTTAACGTTTTTACTTTTGTGTCATCTTCCAACTAATATTGTGTTGCACATTTTTTACGTTTGTGTTACAGTAATCAATTTTACTTATATAACATCTTAAATTTATCTTGACTTCTTCAGTACAAAAAATACAACATTTATATATAAATGCGTTCCTTATTAAAAATGCAACACGGTAGGATCAATTTGACAATAAGTATGGCAGATTCTTTCTTTTAGATTAGGTACTGCATTGTAAATCAACAATTTCCTTTACGTTTAATTTATGCGACCTCACATACGAAAACAAGTAATTTCACGTCAGAAATCCCACAGCATTCTCTTAGCGATCTATTGTATTTGGAATCGTTTAGAAAGACAATACGAGATTTCGTTTTAATTTGAAAGAATATTCCATTTGATGTTAATATTTACAGAACCTGAAATTTCTAATCATAAATGAACCCAGTTAAGGAATTCATATTGTTACGAATTTTGTATATATTTAAGTAATGTTAGTGAAATTATATATGACACTGTAATATGTGACACTGTAATATCTTTTGCATTAGGTAGCATAAAAAGCCTGAAGAGAACGCTGCTCTGCCGAAAAAATAAGATTACAGGGTCACGTCTATTTAACATTAAGGAAAAATGACTATCTTGATAAACTGGAGAGATGT